GGCACTTCTGGATCATCTAAATGCTCTCTAGCAAACTTCAGACGGGCCTGGCCATGTACTGGCTTAAGCAGGGGGACACGTCTGGCACTGCAGGATTTGAGTCCCTGGCGGCGTAGTGTGTTACTGATGGTAGCCTTTGTTACTTTGGTCCCAGCTCTCTGCAGGTCATTGACTAGGTCCCCCCGTGTGGTTCTGGGATTTTTGCTCACCGTTCTTGTGATCATTTTGAGCCCACGGGGTGAGATCTTGCGTGGAGCCCCAGATCGAGGGAGATTATCAGTGGTCTTGTATGTCTTCCATTTTCTAATAATTGCTCCCACAGTTGATTTCTTCACACCAAGCTGCTTACCTATTGCAGATTCAGTCTTCCCAGCCTGGGGCAGGTCTACATTTTTGTTTCTGGTGTCCTTTGACAGCTCTTTGGTCTTGGCCATAGTGGAGTTTGGAGTGTGACTGTTTGAGGTTGTGGACATGTGTCTTTTATACTGATAACGAGTTCAAACAGGTGCCATTAATACAGTTAACAAGTGGAGGACAGAGGAGGCTCTTAAAGAAGAAGTTGCAGGTCTGTGAGAGCCAGAAATCTTGTTTGTTTGTAGGTGACCAAATACTTATTTCACACCATAATTTGCAAATAAATTCTTTAAAAATCAGACAATGTGATTTTCTGGATTTTTTTTTCTTATTTTGTCTCTCACAGTTGAGGTATACCTAGGATGAAAATTACAGGCCTCTCTCATCTTTTTAAGTGGGAGAACTTGCACAATTGGTGGCTGACTAAATACTTTTTTGCCCCAGTGTATGTGTCTTATCTTTTGTCCAAAAATCTATTTATGTCTCTTCTGACTGACACAAGAAATACAATCTAACAAGACAGGCCTTTCGACCACATTTCAATGTTCTCCAATTAATTGTTTTCCTAGCACATTGATATTGCGATCATTTGACTACGTCACACAAAAAAGCGTTTCCAGCGTCTTTGTCAGGTTTTTTCACAAGTTACAACCTTTTTGTTCCAAGATCTTGTTCTACAGATATATTGGAGACAATAGGTTTTGAATTCAATGTTTACCTGTCATGGGGTCAAACAGCTGGTTGGCCTCTAGGTCGGTGAAGGTGGAGAAGCAGCAAGGGCAGCGGAAGGAGGCACGGTTGGTGGAGTCTCTCTCATCTGTCTCGATGCGCCGTCGAATGTGATCCAATTTATACTTGACCACGTTGACCAGTACCCTGAAAAGATCCGTTTGGTGGGTGGTCAGAAAGGGGTCAACTTTGAGCGTCATTGTGGTAAATCAATCTATTTTCCTCACACTCATATATGTACATTTTGTCTAAACTAAAAAAGGGATGAGGTAAAAATGTATTGAACTTTGAAGGAATGCACAAATGCTCTCAAAACATAAAGGGAACTTAAAGACCTTAGCCTTTGCATCCATTTACGTGCACAAAAACCTAAATAACACACTACAGGAGAGGGAAACTCCCAAAAAGCATAATAGGGCCTCTGTAATAAGAGGAAGCCATTGTGTGTTACTGTCTATTATCTGCACTGTTGCCATGCAAACTAAAAAGAAGATAACCCACCTGTAGTTGATGAAGTAGTAATTGTGCCGCGTGGTCTTGCCATCAGGGGCCGTCTCCACTCTCATGCGACACTTGACAAACTTGTCTGCCTTCAGGGTGTTGAGTACTGAGCGCAACTGTTTACGATCAAACTTGAGCAGCTCCAGCATGTCCTCCTCACGTACACAGGGGTTGCGAATGAGCACGTCCAGGGCCAAGGCATGTTCCACTCCATAGAAACCCCTCACTACCTGCTTGGCTAGCCGCTTCAGTGCTGCAGGGACCTCAGTGAGTATCTCTGGTTCTATCATCTTCTGCTGTGGATAGAGATTAGACATATTGAGTAAAGACAAGGACAACATGTAGGAACTTTGAGAGAACCGGCAAATACTTTGTTTAGCATGAAACAGTAGGTAAGTAGCCATAGCTTTGGAGGGCAATTGGTTAAATTTATAAAAAGGGATGTGAAAGATCAATCAGGATAAATACAATGATGGACATTTAAATGGTGGGATGGTCATATTTTAGGAATAATGTTCTCTCTGCTATACTTGATAATTTGCTTAAACGCACAACCTCTGTTGAAGTGGACAACCTTTAAAACATCATATGTCCTGTTTTGTTGTGCTAACATTAACAAGTGGTGATTAATAACGCCAGCCCAGTCTAAACTGGAAGCCAACCCGGTTGTTACATAGTGGCGACCTGACTTAGCTTAACGTTAGCTTAACTTGAACAAAGAAAAACAACAATTACTAATCCAGCAAACTGTCTGTAACACAAACCAATGTTATAGGTGATGATAGTATAACTTGGTAAGCTAGTAGCATTGCTGTTGCTTTATCAGGTAGTCATTACCTCACGTTGTCTTGTTAACTAAACTTGCAGCCAAAATAAAGTTAGTTTGCATAAACACCTAGTTAATTCCAACCTTACCCGGTACTCGTTATGTTCCACCAATACGCAAAAGCTAGCGCTTCCTTAGGTCATCTCAGAGTACGCTGCTTGTATCTCTAACCAACACAGCTAAAGCTCACACACATTTGTAATTTTGAATCTTTAAACTGCTAGGTTAGCATGCTTCACGACTCATTTGAGAACATAACCCCGGAAATGAAACCCTAAACCACAACAAAGGTTTTCAAGTTGCAATCAGTAGCCAATAGGGTAACAGGAATGTTGATTGACATACATTTAGACGAATAGCTGTGCATTCCTATTCCTAACGTACTTTTCGGGGAACCAATCGGAATAAAGAAATTATATTTACAGGCGGGGTTTTCACTGTTTTCTTCCGGGACGTCGCTGTCAACAAAAAATGGCTTCTCTTGACAGGGTAAAAGTATTAGTTTTAGGAGATTCGGGTAAGTAAAGTACAGTTTTTGCAATTCCGAAAAACTGTCTGTTTATGTTAATACATTTCTTTGTTTTAGCCGAAAGTAACCCATTTTATAACCCTTGTGTTCTTAAATAAGGAACATCAAACTCTTGTCTTTAGTCTGTTGTTGGCACTTTAGACCTGCATATCTGACGCAACATGATGGTCGTGTTCAACGTATTTTGTGATAAAGATGGACCAGCATCTGGCCCTTAATTTTAAAGCAATAACTTCGTGTTACCTGAATGTATAGCCGATCTAAAGTGTTGTATTTGTGCTAAGCATACCCCTTATCGTCACATAAAGTTGAAATTGTATCAACATTTTTGCCGAAGTGGCACCTAACAGCTCGTTAAAGCTATTTGCTGGTGTGCTGCAAGGTTTATACCTTAATGGAATCATATGTTGCACTATTCGCACAAATGTGTGTCTTCCTGCCTACTGTAGGAAACATTGCACAGGTTTATACTGACTCAGTCAATTAAATGACATTCATCCACCCACATTTCTCATCTTTTGCAGGAGTGGGCAAGTCGTCCTTGGTCCACCTGCTATGTCAGAATCAAGTGTTAGGAAATCCATCCTGGACTGTTGGGTGCTCTGTGGATGTCCGGGTAAGCAGGTCAATGCCAGAAAACAGAATTTCATTTAGACACAGTCTTAAATTATGCTACCGGCCTTTAAATTAGCTTCAGATAAACTACATTGAAATGCATACTCCATACGACAACCTTTTTAAATAACAATGTTTGTAAAAGCCAATATATTGGACACGTACATGCTTCCTCTTCCTCCAGTCTTTTGTCTAATGACTGAAAAACACATGTTTAAAGTTAGTTTAATACAGTATGATTCGGAAAATATAAGTTATCTGTATGCAGAGAACAGCCAATTTCTAAACAATTAAGATTTAATTACTGAATTATAATAAATTAAACATTAATATGTACATCAGTTTATTGTTACAGCTTGTAAAATTGTACTTACATCATATGCTGCTGTGTTGCAAAACTTTGTTCCATTGATCATGAATTGAACCCTTACATGTTACAGATGCTTAGAGGAATATAATCTATTGGTCAAACATTTGTTTGGTTAACTACAGGTGCAAGACTATAAGGAGGGGACACCGGAGGAGAAAACCTACTACATTGAACTCTGGGATGTCGGAGGATCTGTTGGCTGTGCGAGCAGTATCAAAAGCACCAGAGCTGTCTTCTACAATTCAGTCAATGGTAAAGATGATTTTATTTGAATATTTAAAAATATCTAACATTTTAAGGGTTGCTATTACTTAGTTGTGTCCTCTTTCTTTCAGGAATTATGTTGGTACACGATTTAACAAATAAGAAATCCTCTCAGAATCTGTACCGCTGGTCACTGGAAGCTTTAAACAAAGATTCCTCTCCAACAGGAGTGATCGTCTCAAATGGGTAAGTACACATATAGTTAATATTAGATAGTTAAATGTGACGTCTGATACTGGGGAGTTAAGTCGTGTTCTTTTCTCACAGCAGTGACTATGACAGAGAGCAGTTTGCTGAGAACCCAGTGCCTCTGCTGCTGATTGGCACCAAGTTTGACCAAATCCCAGAAAACAAACGCAACGAGGTTCTCACTCGGACGGCCTTCCTGTCTGAAGACTTCAATGCAGAGGAGATCAATCTCGTAGGTCAACCTTTCATTCCTGCAAGTTCTGACTTTAGGCCCATTTCAAGTCATCTGTAACATTGCTGGGTCTATAAAAGAAGCTTATTTCAGAACAATTTGAAAAAAAGCTACAATAACATACACATTTTATCAGTACAGTGTCAAGATTCAACCTGGGAAAGAACAGAGCTTTAGTTTTAGTTGAGGTTTGTGGCTGAAGTGCTATTTTGTTTTCACAGGACTGCACCAACCCAAGATACCTCGCTGCAGGCACATCAAATGCTGTGAAGCTCAGCAGGTTCTTTGACAAGGTGAGAAACACACATTTAGAGATATATAGAGCATGTAAAGCAGATTATTATTCATATTTATTCTACTTTCATCTCTTTGGTGTTGATGAGAAGCATAAAACATCATGTGTGAACCATGTAGACACATTCTATTAATCTATTACTAGTAATTGCAAAATGAGATTAAATATTGAATTTCCCCAAAAACGTGGTATTAATGCAGTTCACATATCCGTAGCGCTAAGTGCTACACTTCCTTCTGTTGGCAAAGTGAATGTCAATGTGAATACTACAGTATATAACATTCCAAACAAATGTGTCCTTGTGAAGCGTGCCTAGTTTCTTTTTATATTAAGGCGTAAGACTAAAGATGTTTTCTTTTTTATTACGTCAAAAATCATAACACAATATTGACTATCCTATAACTTGATATATTTTGTAATAGATGCTTGTAAGAAAAACAAAAATAATCATGTTATTTCCTGTATTATGTGATCCAAATTGGGAGACATTGAACAATTATGACAGTCAAGACATCAAACATAAGTCTTTTTAGTACGAAGTTCTCTGAATCAAAGTACAAATGTTGTATCTATAAAAACTTGAGCCTTTCAATCTCCTAACAGGTAATAGAGAAGAGATATTTCACAAGAGATCCAAGTCAGGTGAGTTTCACTTGTCTTTTCTTTCTCTTTTGACGTAAGCAAATGTTACCACGATGAGGATTTATTTTAAGGTGAACTGCTTTTTTAAAACGGCACATTCCTTTCACTTCCTCCGCAGATGACGGGTTTCACAGACAGAAAACGGTTCAACTTCAAAAGTTTGCACTATGACTGAAAAACCGTGACAACCAGCAGTTTTCTGTGGTTTGACTTTCACACCACAAGTAACCATCACACTCATTGACATGCTTTCTGTATCGCCCCGCCTTCTGAACACTGTTTCAACTGCTCTTGTGTAAAGTCATAAACGGATGCTGCAACAACAACACAAATTACGATAGAACAGAATAATTACTATTATAGTCAAGATTAATATGTACATAGTTGACAAACATGTAAAATTGCATAAATGTACTGTGAGATTTTGAGTTAAATCCAAAAAAATTGTATTTCTCATTTTATTTGTTTTCACATGCAAAACCTTTACATAAATTGGTTTTATGCATTTCAGTTCCTGTTTGCTGTGTTCAACTACACCAAAAAGGTAAACAAATCACATATTTTTTGACATGGTCACAGTTTATTAGCTAAGAATAAAAAACAATTTCTTCATCACAATAATATCTACAACAAGTTAAATCTATTGGACACATTATTTGCCTATTAAGTTTGTTATTTGTGTTTTAAATAAGATAAGACCAGTCATTCTGAAATGTGTTGTTTTACTATGCCAATATATTAAGTAACTAAAAAAAGGAAAATTTTCTTGGCCTCTGAATTGTGCCTCATGCTACATTCTGTTATTTCTTCATCACTTCCTTGATCCAGGAGAGAAAGGATTTCACTTGAGTGAAGACATGGGGATACTTTGGATCATTACAATTACATAAACTGGTGAAAGCCGTAAGACCCTGAAGCTCTCCTTTGCAGATAAGTGGTCCACCGGAATCCCCCTTAAAAAAGAAGGCAACACAAAGAGATGATTGAGTAGACCGGAAAATAAATAGACACTCTTGTTTTTGATTAAATCAAGTATGATTCACGTTCACAGAATTATGTTGTGTTTATAATGGTTTATTACCTGACAAACCCCTCCCTTCTTTTTGTCAAATGTGGTGCATATCATTCTACTAGAAACAAAGTATTCTTTCCATATGTGGTCGCACTCCCGGCTGAATTGTATGGACTCCGTAGTCTCCTTCAGGACATTTGAGATAGGCTTTGTCTGTCCAGTTCGGCCCCAGCCAGCAACCTCACATTTAACTCTTGCGGGGAGGTCCTCATCACTCTTTGGTAGTCCGATGATCTTGACATAAGTATTCAGTGTGGCATTGTTTTTTAACTGTGTGAGAGAAGAATCCTTTGTTACTAGATAGTTGTGTTAATATCCTCTTAAAGTCAGATTGAGGTTTTTATGTAAAGCATATCGCCCCTACATCCTTCCGTGTGAAGTGCAAACATTACAAAAAAATGAAGCTAAAATTAAAGCATTGTACAAAACCCTTAACAGATTCTTCACCTATGTTTTTGTATGAACGTTAACACAGTTAGTTTACCTCGAGTAACATGATATCATATTGGTGTCCGTCCTTTTTGAATTTTGGATGTGGATGGCGCTTAGCCACTTCTATCCTTTGCTGACTTTTCTCTTTCTTTTTGATGTTGTGTGCTCCAAGGACTGCCGTCATGGTCTGCTCACTGAAAAATAAGGGTACAAATATTGTAATACTTAACAATAATTTTCACCTTGAAACAGACTGAAAACATTGATAAATATGTCAAATATAACTACTATGATACAAATAACTATGTGAAAGCTGTCTTAACAAAAGTATTTCTATATTTATTTTAACTGAACTCCAGAAAATGAGGAACACACATGGAATTGGCACCAAATATTTTGTGAATGATAGATATTGAGTCATGGGAAAAAAACTATTATAATTGAATGCATTCATTTCGGAGCCATTCAATTAATTTGTCATCAAATCGTTTTGTTGCATTAATGTGTCTTAAGCTTCTTTGGGTCTAGAAAAGCGCTATATAAATCCCATTTATTATTATTATTAACTCACTCTTCGCAGTGTGCTGCAGTCAGAACAAAGTCCTCTCGAATAAGGACCCCGCCACATGAGTGTTTGTCCTGAAACTGGAGTGATGCCATGTAGGGTCGGGAATGAGGCTTCGCAACATTCCCCCCCACTATGCCACTCTCAGAAGCCCCTTAAGATTAAGAAGGTTAATTAATACACAGGTAAAAAAATACAAAATGCTC